TTCCCCCAGATGGACCAGCAGGTAATTTTTAACCTGTTTTCTATTTTCCGAATTTCTGAAACCTTCCTGAAACTAGAGGTTTGTGTTGCCTGAACACGGTTCATCCCTTATGCAGCGTTTGCTGGATGCTGGAGGAGCCGGCAATTCCCTTCGGCTACAGGAACCAAATCTCTGTGATCAGCAGCCGCCTGTCTCCAAGGCTTATTTAGTCTAATCACATAGTCAAAAGTGGAGACTGGTCTCAGCTTTTCAGGAGGAACAGCTGAATCAAGAGTGGGCAGGAGCAGAGACTGGCACCATTGATAGTGGGAGAGAATAAAAGCGCAGGAAGACCTATGAAATTAACTACGCAGGATGCAAAATTGGGTGTATGACATTGGATTCTCCAATGGCAGGTAAAAAAAGTATTGAAAAATACCCTCAAATGTACTGGTATCAGTTTGGAGTATTTTTTTTCTTCCAGTTAGTTTGTCCTTCCTTAGTTATTAAACAGGAGACCCACACAGAAGGAGAAGTTTCTCCACCAGGAGGATGAAGAACCTTTCAGTACTTCTGCAGGACTTGCTAGAGATATCCTACAGGCACTGTGGGATATGGAGGAGAAATCTCTCTTTAACAGGCCTTTTTCAGAAATTCTAGAAAGTGATTTTGGCACCTGATCACTAAACTGGTGCCACAGGACATCACGCATGGTGGTGTGCCCAATGTGTAGAGCCTTACCTCACCCCTGCCATGGAGCTCAACCACCAGCAGCCTCTGCAAAACAGATGGGCAGGGTATTTTATACCCCAGCAGTGGTTTTTTTGCACATCAAAGTCCAAAGGCATAAGCAGTGAAAGAAGAATTTACTCCGACCCAAAGAAACCAGATACAAGCAGTAAATAAAGACCAAGCTCTGCCAAGTGACTTCTGTGTGGCACAGGTTTATAGTTAGCAATGCAGTTTGTTTTATTAGTTATAAATAAAGTACAAAAAATCCACCAAAAGTGAATCTAAGCATTTACACAATTTCTAATGTCTTTCCATTTCTTCAATGCACTATTGCTTTAATATTAATAATAAATATTTTTCTAGCTTTCTTCTATAAAATAGTCTATGTAGCAAAATGTTGCACAGCACAACAGAACAGCAGTAGGAATACAAAAATGTGGGTGATCCTTTCACCTGCCCGGGCCATTAAAGGAGAGGGGTTTTGTTTGCTCCTTGTTCTACTTATCCCTTTTACAGTGACTTTGGGGGGGACAACAACCAACCCCCCTGTCCCCAAACAGCTCAAAATCACAGCTCCAGGCTACAGGGGAGGAGTGTTAGAGAGCAGCAAGGTAAAAAACACAGACAGGTTTAAAACCTGGGGTAAGGCAAAGTCAACAAAGCAGAGCAGCACCCTGAAGGGACAGAGAGAAAAAAATTAAGGTACAGTGATTTTGTGCCTTTCTAACCCAAACCAGAATTGCACCCAAAGCCTTTTGGGGTGGGGAGGTGTGGCTACTGGCTGAGCACATGCATCAAGCCCCACTTCTGTCCGTACATGGCTGAGTTTCTGCACTGACCAAGGGTGGTTATGGCTTAAAGCTTAAAATGTTACCCCATGTCTCACTTTCTTGCAAAGCTGGAACACTTGATATTCAGGAACCTTTGGGAAAGGGTAGAGCACTGTGAGAGCGGCATGGTTGTGGCAGGATGGGGATGGGGATGCTTGGCCATGTCATTTTGGGGCTGAATCCCTTCTCTGGTGTAGGTCCCAGCTCTACAGTGAAGGTTTTTCTCTTTGCAGAAGAGATGAAACCAACTGACCAAGAGAATCAGTTAGGGGCTTCTGCCACATTCACAGCTCAGAGCTGGGTTATAGCAAATGCTCATGACAGGCCTTGGAAAGGGATGCCAGATTGACCCTGTATCCATCCCACCCCCTCCCAGCTAGACATGGCATCACAGAATCCCAGAACAGTTTGGTCTGGAAGGGACCTTAAAGCTCATCTTTTTCCAACCCCCAACCATGGGCAGGGACACCTTCCACTAGACCAGGCTGCTCTGAGCCCTGTCCAACCCAGCCTTGAAACTTCCAGGGATGGGCCATCCATAACTTCTCCGGGCAACTTGTGCCAGTGCCTTACCAGCCTCTGAGTAGAGAGGTCAACCCCCCAAAAAACTGCAAGGAGTTCCTCACTTTTGTTCCCTCCAAGCCCAGGCTCAACCTACTGCCTCCTTCACCCCAGCTGGGTGCACACACAGAGGGTGAAAAGAGCCAAACCGAGGACCCACGGGCACCAAAATCTGGACAAAGCCACCACCACACCTGGGCTTCCTTCCTTGGCTTTTGAAGCAACGTGCAGAGTCTGGCACTAAAGGGTGCAATGCATTGCCCCAAGCACAGCCTTGCAGCGGGGGCCTGCTGGGTGTCATTGCAGGGTCACACATGCAGCAAAGAGCAGCAGCATCACCAGCGGGCGGCGGGGACGGGGCAGGACCGGGAACCAACCAAAAAACATTTTGGCTTTGCAGAGCGTCGTTAACCACCTTCAATGCACGGGGGCGCAAGCGAAAGGATCACCAGAGTTTGATTATGAGTGCAAATAATATTCATATATATGTGCTAAACACAGTCACTATATTGCAGTTTTCCACTATGTCACAGCATACAGAATCAAAGGTTTGCATTTTTATGGAATGTATCCAAGGTAACAGCACCACAGTAATACAGTTTGTAATCACACACCCTGATTTTTTTCTCTTTTTTTTTTTTTTTTTTGTTTTTGACAAGATAAGCATCACCCCCCACATCCCCTGTTTAATTTTTTTTTTAAGTACCGATGCATGCAAAGCATTCCATTCCCAGAAACAATGCAAAAATGAGGTAATAGGAGTAATAAAAAAAATTAGTAGTAATTTCTAAATAAATAAATTATAATTAAAAATGCAAAAAAAACAACTATAAAAATAATTAAATAAGAACCCACAATATCTACAAGTTAGTCATAAATTATGATTGTTAAATATAAGGCATTTAAACTCACAAAACCCTGTAAACTATCAATGTTTTGTTTCTAGTGATTTTTTTTTTGTTGTTGTTTGTTTCATTTTGTTTTGTTTTTTTTTAAATTCACCCTATTATCGCAACCTACTCGTACAAATTATTTAAATGCAAAGAAACCTGACACACCAATACAACTCCAGATGCTGTAAATTCGCACACACCTTGGGATCAGTCACTCACACTAGACCATGGGAGTTTGGTGCTTTTCTTCACCAAAGGGTTTGGTTGTTTTTTTTTTTTTCTTTTTTAGTTTGCTTGATCTTTTTTTTTTTTAAAAACTGTGCTTGTTTATTAGGCAAATAGTAACACTTTCTCACAGGCTTTAAGAAAATACACTGTTCAGGAGCACTCCTCATCCCCTCCCCACCCAGCCAGAGTCCCAGTCACTCTGTTCCTCTCCCAGCTTCACCCCCAGCTCATGCCTGGACAGACCAGACCTCCTTACAGTGTATTTTACCAGCAAAGCCTTGTATAAAATAGTATTATTAGTATTATTTGTAATGATGCTTCAATCTGCTGCTGCTGGAGCCAGTCCCAAGGATGGACCACTCCTTGACCCATGGACATCAGGGCTGGGACCACCACATCCCCCAAGAAGCTGTTGCTTGTGCTGGGTGTCAAATATATCATAAAATCATGGAATAGTTTGGGTTGGAAGAGACCTTAATAGGTCATCCAGTTCCAACTCCCAGACATGGGCAGGGACACCTTCCACTAGACCAGGATGCTCAGAGCACTGTCCAACATGACCTTGAATGTTTCCAGCGATGGGGCAGCCACAGCTTCTCTGGGCAGCCTGTGCCAGTTTCTCATCACCCTCATAGCCAAAAATTTTTTCCTTATGTTTTACCTATAGGTCACCAAGTGTTCCACTCCCCTCCCTCCTACCTACACGGGCACATGAAGAGAGAGGCTCCTGCACCTTCACGTCCATGGGGATTCGCTCTTTCTCTCCCCTCTCCCTCTGGGAAAAAAGAAAGTCTCTGTGGTGCCTCTGAGGTTGGTGTTTTCCAATTACAGCTCATGGGAATCTTCCGATTTCTCAGATAGCGGTTTATGATTGATTCTACTTGGAGAGCATCACTTGGCTCCAGCGAAACGGATGCTCAGGGGAGCCAGAAATCATTCCCACCACATCAGAATTTTCAATACATAATGTTCCTGACTAATTCCCCTGCTGCTCCTCCGCAGCTCTTTCACTCCCCTAGTACGAAATTTAAAAAAAAAAAAAAAAAAAAAAAAAAGGGAAAGGAAAAGAATGTTTTGGTTGTGAATGTCGGTTTTCCGGAGGGTTTTCCACTCGGTCCCTGTGGTTGGCATGCTGAGGTGTTTTTTTTTCAGGGGGAGCGTGGATCACAACAGCTCGCTCCTTCGGGTATTGCCTCTTAATTCTGTTTTGAGCGTTAATGTGATTAAGTTGTGTTTTAACAACCACTGATTACTCCGTGTGGATACAGCCTGAAACATGTACACAAGCTCACACGGGTGCAGGTACACATTCTTTGAGGCAGGTCACAACCCAGTAGCAAACCTCCAAAAAACAGCAACCCCACTTCCAACCTCCCTCCCCCTCCCATGCCCAAGTGCTTATGGTCTCAGCAGTGCCTTGAGAGCATCGAGTTTTCTTCTGTCCTGTTATCAGAGATGCCTTTGCATGGGAGAAGAGTCGATGTTTTGCACCTCTCGGCACTTCTCTGGTGTTATTATACCCCAAAGCACAGCTGTAGGCACCCACTCCGGTAACCATCAGTTTGGAGCTGGTGAAGCCAACCAGTCACGCAGCTCACAGGAGAAAGCATCACAGACAATGGCAATCAAATAGACAGATCTTCCTTGGATTTTGATATGACAAGCTACTTTGTTAAAGATACAGAAAGCAAAGAAACAGCATCTAGTCCAATATTATGCCCCTACAGAAAGTGTCCAGCACCAGCAGACAAGCAGGAACGAAGCTTCTCCCTATTGCTTCGTTCATTTTATCCCCAATTTTTATTTCTTTAAGCTTCTCTAAATTTGCAACACACTGTAAATGCAAGGGAAAGAAGCACACGCGGCTGAGGCAAAGAGCGCAAACCCTTCTGACTGTAAACAGGATTTTGCTTTTTCTCCTCTTCCCCCACCCCAAGGGTGGGAAAGTTTGACCTCTTTATTCCCCCTCTGCAATGTATTAATCAGGCACCAAAATAAGGAATCTATGAAAAAATATTTGGTGCAAAATAGGTAACAGCAACATGTCCACCACAAGATGAGTAGGGCATCAAACACAACATTTCTTAAGCTAACATGCTCCAGCTGCCATCCATAGAAATAGCTAAAGGACCCCTAACATGTTTCTACATATTCGAGAGGTATATATACAATCCCCATGAAGTGCAGGATTGACAGGCCAGGCTACCACAACTAGTTCCTTCATGTTCAACACTAAATCTTCTGCAGCACGGGGTCTCTGAGCTCCGGGAATGCCAGCTCCCTTTCACTGGGCCTGTATCCTGCATATGTGCAATATCTCCTACTGCTAGATATTGTACCACCACCTCCTCCTCCTCCTCACTAACGTGCCTGCAGACTTCCCCTCTCAATCAAATGGCTCAGAAGGCAAAAATTTTGCTGCAAGGGTCTATGGCCATACGACCTGGTAAGGAAAATGGTGTGTCCAGCCAGTCCTTTCAGCTGTCCGAGCCGAGCTGTGTTTCAATGTCCACCCTGCAGATCGGGCACTTCTTGCTGGTGGCCAGCCACTGGTCCACGCACACTTGGTGGAAGAGATGCATACAAGGCAACCGCCTGCAGAGACAGAAAAAATACCAGCCTGTTAGGATGGAGGAGGCCCAAGGGACCAAGAAGAAAAGAAAACCATGTGGGAAAGCACTGGAGTGGTGACACCAGTGTTGCCGAGGTCCTGCAGTCTCTCCCAGTCACACCAGTTCACACAGGGAAGTTAGATGGAGATACTGTCCTTCTTGGCCTATTAGAAACTCTCATACCATCCTGAACTGAGTTGCTCCAGCCATTAATTACCCTGCCTGCTACTTTTTAATCTTTCAGGAATAAGGTTATACTCCAAAGCCTCTTGGTTCTTCATCACTGTGGCTCACTGGCAGTTAGGTGGGTCCCCACTGCTCCTGCATGGTGTCTGGTGTGCCCCCAGGGAATGTGGTTGCTTTTTACCTACATCACCTTTGCCATCATCTGCCCTTGTAATACAGAGAGCACAAGAACCCACAGCAAGAGGATCAGAGCTTTTCTTGAGGGTTTAAGGCAATTAAGGGGTGAGAAGCAGGACCAGGTACTTCTTGCCTGCAGTTCCTTCAGCCACGGTAGTTCAGTCCTTTGCAATTTCTTGTCCCCACTCTCTGTCACAATCAGAGATCTGACCTAGACAACAGCCTGGAATGTCTGTTATGGATGACTGGGGTTCTGCTGTTGGCTCAGGAAGGTTCCCTGTGACCATGTGGGCAAAGTAATCTTATTCTACAATAAACCAGCTCCATTCTGGACACAAGCCCGAATCTCCTGGACTTCATACTCATACTGCCTTTTATCATACTTTGGTCATCTGTCAAGCTCAGATGTTGATGACTGCAAGCTCCAGATGGCTGCCTGAGACCTGGGACACATCCCTCTTTGGCAGTTTGCCACCTGGCCTATTGGCACAGCCTTGAAGCAGGTGATCCAAACCCAGGAGACATTATAAAAACTTGTCCCTCCTGCTGTTGCAGACCTCCTCCTACCTACAGCCCACACCAATGTCCATCTAAGTAGTTTTTGGTTTCCCAGACCCTGCAACAACCCAAGTGAATTTCTCAGGACAAGAACAGGGGCAATCCCACGAGTGCACAGTGGCATCAATCCAAATAAGCACAACTCAGATGGCATGGAGAGGCAGAAGAGCAGATGGAAGGATCATACCTGACGTCTTCTCCGTCTTCTAGCATGGACAGACAGATTGTGCATTTCTCATCGGTGTCTGACTCCTCTCCATCATCTTGCTCAGCTTTGCCTTCCTGTGGTCTTCTCTGCAGCAAGGTTAAAGACATCGTTTGGTTAGGCCTTGACTTTCTAATGGTCTCCCAAGCCTGGACAGTTGTAGGAAGGTAAATAATAAGAGCTTTTTCTATCAGCCAGATCCTCCAGCCTGGGGAAGCCACCCCAGCCAAAACAGCCAGTGAGATGAGGGTGCCACCAACATGCTGCTGGCTGGCACACCTCCTCCTGGGGCCAGTGGCACCGAGGCTGATGGTGGTGCCCCAAGGAGCAGCCTCTCCTCTGCTGCCCTAATACAGCCTCCTGCCACTTCCTTGCAGTGGGGATGGCTCCATGGTCTCCTTTGCTGGAAGCTTTTCCTGGAGACCCCAAAATGTGTGGGGCTACCACTGCCAGGAAGGGCAACCACTGTGCCTCATGCCAGCCTGGCCACCAGCCCAGCCCCGTGCTGCACCACAGGGCAGTGCTTAGCCTGTCAGCTCTCCCCTTTTCTCTATTCTCCTATTGATACCATTTTTCCGAATCCACTGGAGATGCAGTCAGAGGTAAGTGCAGGACAAGCTATCTCACTTTCCCCCTGGGCAACGCAACATCCCTACACGTTACCGCCCAGCTGGGGACGACCAGCACACGGAATTACTACCCAAACAAGCAATTTTTTCCCCCGTTCTCTGCTCAGAACAACCCAAAGATGTGCCACCCATCTCCTTACAGGGAAGACATCAGCTCCAACAGAGGAGACACCCCTTGCGAAGGGAGGGGAGGACAAGGTCCCCCACGCCACGGAGCCGCCGCCCTCGCTCACGTCGGGGCGCGCGGGCAGGGCCGCTTGCATGCAGAACAGGGTGGGTTTGCATGCACCAAGCCCCCTTGGAGGTGTGCACTTTCTTACCAGGTGCGGACAGGGGGGAAATTGCACCCGCTGGGTGGGAGAAGGTTGAGACCCCTTTGAAAATTTGGCCCGCAGCTTCCTAGCCTAGAAGTGAGAAACAGCCAGCTGAGCTACGCCACCGCTTCGGCCCGGGAGCCCCCGCAAGATACCAAAGCACCGCCTCTGGATTTTGCCTTCCTCCCCTGCTTTGGGGAATGTTTTGAGTGATGGTTCCGGCTCGCCAACCCTGAGGATTGTGACCCACCAAAGTCCTTCCTTCTGTCTGCTCCATGCCCACAGCCCTGGGAGCTGGGAGGGGCTGGCAGCCGTGCCGTGGTTTCGGGGCACTCACCTTCTTGTACTTGTGGGGGAAGGTGAATCTCTCGATGGTGTTCTGGACGGCGCCCCGGCTCACACTGCCCAGCCTGTCCTCCAGCTGCAGCAGCTCCTGTGGCACAGGAACATCAGGAAATGCCATCCTCATTGCTCCCGAGGCACGAGGTCCCACCACACAATCCTACCCGCTGGTGACCAAGGCTCCCTCCTGTCCTTTCCTCAGTGGAAAGTCCATCAAACCCGAATCAGTCACGATTTCATGATGGATCTGAGCCCCGGCACTTTGTGTTAATAACTAAGGGCTTAAGGCACAGAGCTGGATATCCAGTGTTTCACAAATTAGGGTGCAATTTGAGATCCATCTGACATGCTAGGGAAACAAAACCCTATAGAACTGGAGCACTTTCTTTACAGACATGAAAGGAGCCAGAGTCAACTCAAGCCAGACCCAGGCGCTTTGGAGTAAACCATCTTTTACCAAACCCACTCAACCCAGGGAATTATTACTAAAATTGCTGAATGACTCAATGCAATTTCCATGCCACAAAACAGCCTTACAAGTTTATACCAGAGCTTGCATAGATTCCCAGCTCTTCAGAAATTAATAATTCCAAGTCCCCAAGATATACGTACTTCATAGCTCTCCCGCACAGCAGATGTGTGCCTGCTTGGGTTCAGTCCCTGAAGAGCAAGCAACTGAAGTTGAGGGTAAGGGTAATTTCTGATTTCATGAACAACCTGCAAGAAGTGAGGGAGAGAGATAAAGCTACCTGTACTTACCCACAGAAAACCCTCGTGTACCCTGATGTAAATCTAGTGCTTTAAAAATACAAATTGAAAGAGCAGATTGACACCTTCACTGACAGAAGCCTTTTAATAACCAAAAAATGAGGTTTTATTAAATAGATCTCCTATGAATTACCTAAGAACACACATTTCTTCTGGATAAACTGTCTGTTATAATGGTTCCTGTAGCATCCATAATGTTGCAGTTCCAAACTCTCAACATGGATTAGCTTTAAAAGAAATCTTATATTATTTAAATGGATGGATTTCTCTTCATCCAAGCTTTGATTTTTTTCTTTTAAGACTTACTGTAGTACACAGGTGAGAGGGTCTGACTACAATGCATCAGGAAAAACACCCTCGTGGGATTCCTGAGGATGCTTTAAGGACTAGCAGTGCTTGGCATGGCTCAGCTCCAAATACAGCACCCTGCTAGGAGAATGGGTAGCACATGACCCCAGTCAGCCCATCTTCTCATCAAACCCACCCCTGCCTGTGCAGGTGGCCATGCAAAACCTTTACAGGTGGCATCAGAGCTGGTGTAGAGAGCAACAACAGGATGAGGGATGGTCCTCAAGGCTGAGCCCAGGGAAAGGAGTCACCCACTGCTCATCCTTCTACATAAAAAAAAGTCCTGGGAGCCCACAGTTTGTGCCAGTATTAATAATATTATTAGTAATAACTGCTGAGTCTCTCACATCCTGCCCAGGTTTTGCAGACCAGCTTGTGAACCCTGGTGCTGCACACGATGGACCGAATCCTTCCAGAACATCTGAGCTTTTCTTTTCTTTCTCTAATCCAGCGCAGTGATGCAACATTATCCTTTCAGACACTCCCTCCCACGGCCGGAGATAAGTGGGATTCGCAGAAGACAGGTGATAGAAAGATAGCAGCCTTTATTTTGACTGCCTTCTGGCAGACAATGCATAAAACATTTCTCAGTGAGAGTGTTTCACTTACCATCTGCGTTGAGGATGTGCTTCTGGGGAAATGGTGCATCCGAGGTGTGGCTAAGTAATGCTGATATGGCTGAGGGACGGGACGGACCTGGAACTGGGCGTGAGTCAGTCCCGCATCGACACTGAGGTCCCTGTGGGCATGAGGATGGAAATATGGCTTTGGATGCCATGGATTTGTTCATGGACTACAGACCATGCTCGCAGAGCAACCTCCCCAGTGGGCTCTGGGCTGCTGTGGGGTTCCTCAGCCTGGGGAGATGCTCCTGGAAGGGAGTTTTCTCTAATTTGAGCAATCACCCACCAGGCCAGCACGAAGGAGTGAGGGGTTGGTTCTATGCCAGTCAGTGTTTGTGTTGGTCGGGGTCAGGGGCTGAGCAGGTGCAGCCCTGCTAATTTCATAGAAAGAGAATTTTGATGGCTCAAAATGATGCCCAGGCTCAGTAACTCAACCTGGTCAGACCAGGTCCTGTCTGTGCTGCCACTATTACGGTATGCTTTGAATATTTTGCAGGAATACAGGCAATTAGTCAAGGAAGCTAGTTAGGAGCTAGCTAGGTGCTGCTTGGGAGCTTTTTGATGTACCTGTGCTCTCCTTGGAGGTCTCCCAGTCCAGACTGTGGTAGGACTTGGGGAGTCAAAGGAGACTTGCACCTCAACTGAACCCAGACTCAGGGTGGTGAGGGTGTGAGGTGTGAGGGTGGGGAGGCCCTGGCACAGGTTGCCCAGAGAAGCTGTGGCTGCCCCATCCCTGGAAGTGTTCAGAGTTAAAATAGGGCTTGGAGCAACCTGGTCTAGTAAAAGGCATCCCTGCCCAGGGCCTAGGGGTGGAACTAGGTGATCTTTGAAGTCCCTTCCAACTTAAACCATTCTGTGATTCTACAATTCTGTGAACTCCAGAACTGCGATTTGTGCATAAAACATAAAGGTTTTAAGAAATGTCTGGATGGGACTGCTGTAGGGAAGTGTGTCACACAACTAGCAGGCCAACAGCAATGGAGTAGGACACCCCGATGGCCCCACTAGCCCGCACACAGCCTGGCCCAGCCGAGCAGAGGTGGAGCTCAGCTTGGTGAATCTGGACACTTTTATCCAGAAGAATAACCCGGCTCAATCCCCGGACCCGGCATGACCAAGATCCCATCCAGCTTCACAGCTCTGCCCAATCCATCACAGAGGCATAAACTGCAGCCCCATTGCCACACCGTGTGGAGGGGATAGGAGGAGACCTAATGCAGCATCTCCATCTATAATCCAATTAGCTGATCCCTGTTCTCTCCAGCCAAAGAGTCTCTCAGCAAACGAGTGCTTTGAACATCATTCACTTTATCATAATTACAAAATCCAGAGCTCTAATAACCATTGTCTTCACATTTGCCAAAGCAAAGCTAATTAGAGCTCAGGGGTGGCTTCCCGTCTCAGCCTCAAACTTCTCCTCCCCTGCGTGGAGGGACGGCAGCAGCGTGTACCACAGCTTGTTAGGAGCAACCCAGATGTGTCCTCCAGCAGCTGTGAAACTGCTTCCACCCAGCAGAAGGCAGAGGACGTGAAGGGACAGTGAATGTAGAAATCCTTCATCCAGAACAGCCTGTGCACCAGGCAGCAGCACCAGGGCTCTCGAATCCCCTAGTAAGGCACCCTGCACCAAGCTGGACTTGATGGCCCTTGTGGGTCCCTTCCAGCTCAGAACATTCTGTGGTTCTGTGATTCTAATTTGAGGCCAGGAGAGGGACTATCTTTACTGGCCCTGTGCTAGAGAGACAAAACCTGGCAGGGGATAAAACACAGCAGGCAACTGGCAGAACACAACCAGGATGAGAATTCACAGCACTGGGCAGTTTCCAGCTCCCGTGTCACAATTTTGGATATTTATCCAATTGTTTAAGACTGTTCCCAGGTGGATGGAAAGTTCAACTGAAAATCAGGAGGCTTTGGTTCCATTCCCAGCCCTGTCACTTTCCTTATGCATGACCTTGACCACTTCCTCTTTGCCATCCTGTATTCCCTGTCTACAGAAGAGATGTGGTATTCCATAGAGTGCTTTGAGATCAAGCACTGAAGAGATCTCTCAAAGGTGAATGGCCATTATTAGCTTGTACAAGTAGTTGCAACAATAGTACTGCTGAACTGTTTGTGAACTTAGAGACTTAAAATCAGATGTTGAGGTTCCTGAAGTGATGGTGTGGGTCTACAGATGGGTCCAAAGCAGACTACTGCATGGTACTGTGTTTTCCCAGGGTTTGAGGGTGACTAAGCAGAGTGCACCAGCTGAAGAAAATCAGAAATAACTTGCTTCCTAGCCTGTGCTACAGGGATGACTGTACAGCATCTTGATGCTCAGATGAGAGGTTCAAGATGTGATGCTTATGGTACATGGGCTGCCAACAACCAAAAGTGGCAGATAAGACTCCAGATAACAGCCTGGATGGTCATCACTATGTGCGTGTGCAGGAGATGATTTATGGAACCAAATGGGAGTTTATTTATTCTTCACCAGAAGATTTTAATTGAGGTTGGGCTCTCTGGGATGACTGATCCCTTTCAGATCCTCCTTCCATCCCCGCTTCCCGTGGCAGTGCCCACCACCTACTGCTTCTGAGAAAATGCTGCTGCTGCTCATCCAGGGGTAACACACTAGAGGGAAGGTTTTATATATCTGTAACTGGGCAAAAACTGTACGTGTGCCCTCAGGGAAAATGAGTCACCCAAACATATACACACAGTGTATGATTTCTGTCGTCCCCACTCCTTAGGTTTTATAAGGTTATGGAGCAACACAGCGGGGAAAAGGAGGGAGGAGGAGGGAACATAAAGTGATGCTTTATCAGATCCTTCTAATTATTATAATTAAACGCTCTGCACTGAAATAGAGGCAGAAAGAATGTCTCTATCCAGATGGTACATGAGCTGCTTTGCAAACCGATCAGAACCATGTCATCCTGGCCACATTCAGCCCACGGGGATGCCAGTAATGAGAACACCTAAGAAGAAAATGGCAGAAGGACGTGGCCATATTTTTGGCTGTCTATTATTGCACTGAAGGGGGAAAAAACCCCACCCGGTGTTAAAGTAGGACTATTCATTTGTGGAGTGAAGCATTCAAATGTTAGGAAATGCCATCATTAAGACTTCCTATCCCGTTTTATTTTGGTCCCCTTGTAGGTATACATTGCGATTGTCTCTAATTACAAGCTCACATGTTATTTTTTCCATTCAGTGCACAGAATGGACTTTGCTTAGCTTACAGAAGTATGTTTTTATTTCCTTATTCTATCAAGTAGGGCACCATACCTTATTAAATGTTCAAGAGCTCAAAACTTGCTCTGAAAATGAAGTGATCAATTCCCTGCAAAGCTTTTCCAGGGTATTAAACACTACAGTGGGAGAATGACTAACAAATCTTGATTCATGCTACCCTGCATGGCAGAGCAGCATGGTGGTCACTAATTGAGACCACAGAAGAAGTTATGGCCACTGTTTTTTGGGTGCCTGAAGGACAGCAGAAGGTCTAGTTCAGGTAGAAACAGTGGTCTAAAGGAAAAAGATCCTGTCTGTGCCCTGCAGCAGGAAGAGCCACCGGGGAAGATTAATGCTTGGCTGCACTCTACATCTGTAGGTGAAGAGTTATGGGCAATAACAGTGGAGCATGTTCAGAGAAGGGAACGGAGCTGGGGAAGGGTCTGGAGCAGCAGGAGCAGCTGAGGGAGCCGAGGGGGCTCAGCCTGGAGAAAAGGAGGCTTGGGGGGATCTCTCACTCTCTTGCAACTCCCTGACAGGAGGGTGGAGCCAGGTGGGTGTCAGGCTGTGCTCCCAGGGAACAAGGGACAGAACAAGAAGAAATGTTCTCAAGTTGTGCCAGGTAGTGTTTAGATTGGATATCAGGAGCAATTCCTTCACCCAAAGAGCCATCAAGTTCTGCCACAAGCTGCCCAGGGTAGTGACGGAGTTCCCATCCCTGCAGGGATTTAGAAGCCATGTAGATGTGGCACCTGGGGACATGGGTTACTGCTCAGCTTGGCAGTGCTGGGGAATTGTTGGACTCGATGATCTTAGAGGGTTTTTCCATCCCAAATGATTCTATAATTCTATATATATATGCCTGGAGGCTTTAACACACACTTATGGCCCTCTCAGAGGCGGGTTTTCCCACTGCACATTCCCCACACTGTAACTGTTGAGCTGCCCCATTGGCTTCCATGAAAGCATTGATCCCTGATGACATTCCCCAACCCTTGCAGCCTTCCTGGGACTTTTTAAAGACCTCACTCAATGCACTAGTGAAATGTGGATCACTTACCAGTCCGTGCCTTCTGCTAAATACCTGGGCTGGGGCCCCATGGGTTGTGGAGTCTGCAGTTGGTGGCTGAAGTCGAAGCTGGGGTGTAGGCGGTGAGGCTGGACAGACATGCGCTCTTGAGCCCGCCTGCAACAGAGAGAACAGCGACACAGTCAGACACGGGTGGCACTGGGATCTACAGCTCCTGCTCCAGCCTCCTGTCAATAATCCATGGTAAAACCGCAATGTGAATACGTGTCCAAGAGAAAACAGCCCAGGCAGGTGTCAGGGATGGTGGGAAGAGGAACCCAGGGCTACGTCATTTCCTCATCGTCGCCACGGGCATGACTCTCATGCCCTTTGACAACTACATGTGCTCAGTTTACAGGAGATGCTATTTGGTGGCAAAAGGAGAGAAAAAGAGGAAATCAAACAACACCTTCCTGAGCAGCTTCGTGCTGTTTGCACTATTTTTTTTTTTCTCCACAGTCAGCCCCATAAACAACACACAAGATAAAACGTGTCCCTGCTTCAGCCGTGATCCATCATCATAAAGAAGCTGCAGGTTGTCTCGTCTCCCCATGCAGTCCATAAACTCCTGGGGAACCTCATTCATAACTGGATTACTCAGGAGTGACTGAAAGCAGAATTTACTCTTGCTGGCCTTTGCCAACATTCCTCTGGCTGATGGACAGGCCAGGCTGGGATCCAGCTCCTTCTCCCTCAGCTCTGCTGCCATTGCAGGCAGGGAAAAGAAAGTGGTAGAAAATAAAACAGAGTTTTCCTAGGGATTTGAGTCTTGTGGTTATTGTCTAGATGAACCACTCAGGGAAAGAGGATGTGCTGCTTGATCAATGTCCACATTTAACAAGAGACAAGGTGGATGCACAAGCAGGATTTGCATTACAGGCAGACTCATCACCTTCACTCCCTGCTGAGTCCCCAGTTACCAGAGGAGCCACAAAGCAAATCTTCAGAAAAACACCCAGAGCAAATGGAAGAGGGAACTGCTAGGTAAATAATTTTTAATGCTGCCACAGCTCAGAGACCTCACTTCAAAGGCACGATCCACATTCCCATTATTGGGACCTCCTGCCCCACACCTGTAAGGGTTCTGACACCCTCTTCCCCTGCTGGTGTGCTTCCAGAGACAAGCTCTGAGCCTGGCCAAGAGGTTCCTGCCTTTTTTCACAACTCACTTACAAATATAAAACTGACAGCGTTTACCAAAGCAGAATCTTCATGGAATTGTGTTCTGTGCTTTTATTTGAATTCAGCTTATGACTAAGAGATAAACACGTGTATCGTCAGTACCTCAGCCTTGAACATACTCGCCACCCAATTATTATCTAATCATTAAACCCACCTAAAATCCAGCTTATGCAAAACAAAACAATGATGAGAAGAACACACAATTTTAAAACAGAAAGGGTATGGAAAGAAAGGGTTTTCTATCTGTAGCATTCTTTCCAAATGAAGCATTATTGCAAGGATTCATCCTCTGATTCTTGATCCACGGATACAACCCACAAATAGCTTCCATATGTTTACAAAACAAGGACTACTCTCTCAAAAAACACAATCAAGGCAAGGCCAGGCATCCATTTCCACCTCTGCTGAGTTACAGTAGGTCTCTCTGCATTCGTCAACCCAGTCTGAATTTAAGATGCTTTCAGTGACAGAATGTGCTGCAGGTCAGTGGCACCATTCCCTCATAGAGATAGAAAGCCTACCTAGACCTAGGAGGGCGAGATCTTCATGTGTAAAAAGGAGACAGGTAGATACAATCTCTTGCACTGCTTTGAAACAGCAGCTGCAAGGGTGTAGCTCACCCTCACAGTCTGTCCCTCTCTCTGCCACGCAGGACAGGTTCACCACAACGCCATCGTGATTCTCCTACGAGTGACAACAACATGGTGACTTTGGGACACACTAGATGAGCGCTGTATGGATCCCCATGGGAAAGGTACACAGTAGATGAGCACAGTAGGGAACCCCCGAGGCAAAGGTGTCCGTTCAGGTGCAGCTTGCCCTGCAGCCTCCCTTCTGGTGGATGAATTTCCAGGGTGCACAGAGGAACTCGTGAAGAAAACGCAATGCAACCAGCGCTGCTGGGGTTCTGCAGGTGAAGAGAAGCTGATGTTGTAGCTCCTCAACATCCCTCAGGAAGAGCAGGACCCCCTTACCTGGGATGGGGCATGAGCCGGCGGTGCTGTGCCTCGAGGAGCTGCTGCTGGAGGAGGTATTGCTGGTGTAGCGCCTGAGGTAGGAAGGAGGGTCCAGCGACGTCCTGGAAGGGCAGGGGTGGCACTGGGGCCAGGGGCTGGTGGAGGGGGCCACTGTGCTGGTGTGCAGGGGCCATGTGAGGGGTCAGCCCCGGCTGGGGCTGCACCGCGTGAGGCAGGGTGAAGTCGGCGGAGAGCTGAGGCTGGGGACCCAGGTGGAAATGCCGGCAGGAGGTAGCATGGGGATGCTGAGACCTTTGAAAGGGAGCACCTGGAAGAGAAGAGAACACAACCCGGTCTAGTGGAAGGTGTCCCTACCCACGGAAGGGGGTTGGATCAGATGACCTTTAAAGGTCCTTTCCCACCCAAACCATTCTACGTTTCTGTGACACAGCCTCATCATTTTAGAAAAGAGAAAAACCATTTTCTAAAATATGGAGTTTTCAAAGCTTTCCCTGAACTGCAGACTTTCCATCCAAGTCAATGTATTTCTTTACCTCTCTAAAAATGTCTCATAGGCAAGGAAATAATCTCTGCTCCAAGAAATTCTCTCTCCCTGACTGCAGGACATGAGTGAGACACCTCCCACCTCTGAGAGGGAGGGATGAAGGCTATGTTTGTTTGTTGAGACCCTTCAATAGCCCGTCCTCATGAGCTGCTTGCAGGGAGAGAGCAGCTGCTGGAAACATAACACAGACTGCTATGAGACCAGCCATGAAGCTGATGGGAGTGAGGAAGAAATGAGGTGTGAAAGATATCCGTAGTGGAGGCGTTTTGTGAAACATCTGGCACTGGCTTGCACCTTGCTCAAGATCCTCGCTTGGACGGGCCCTTGTTCCAATCCAGCATGTTAATTCCTACATTCCTGGAGCATTTACAGGCACCCTGCAAAACCTTTCACTCTTAAGCTAGGGAAAGAGTAAATGCAGAGGTGAAGGATGAGGCTCAAGTGAGGCTATTAGAAATGCTTTTTTCTGAGGATCATTCACAGGATAAGACTCCTACCCTTTGCATGGCGTTTTGAACACCCCATCTTCCTAGAAAACTCCCCTTCTTTTTTAAACCTTCAGGAATGGCCCAAAATATCCAGGAACAACAGCACCAAGAGACACTGAGTGTCATCCCAAGACACAGGCATGCACGTCATGCCTTCTTCACCCAAACCCCTTCTGCTCCCGCCTCCCTGGCAGGCAGGGCCAGTCCATCACAACAGCCTAGGGAGCCCTGAGTGCTTTCTGCTCACTCCCATATGGAAACAGGAGAGACACACAGCAAGCCAGATGCCAGCAAGAGAAACAACGGGAGAGGACTTAACAGAAACGGATGGTTTGCAAAACTGTGCATAATTACACACAGCATCTCTTAAATACAAACTAATCCTCCAGAGTGCCCCTCTGAGAGAGGCAGCGGGGAACAAATTCCTGTGCCACCCACAGTGGAACTTCTTAAGGTGATATTTCCCCTGCTGTCAGATAACAGCATGATTTGACCACGCTATTAATTAAAACCAGAGGTGGCGGGATCAGACCCACCGTTCCTCAATGATGGAGCTGCAAACCCAGACCCAAGAGCCGTCTGTATATTCCATTCCGCTGCAGGTTACATTTGTTGCTGATGGCATGTCCCAAATTCACCACAAACAGGTAAAGGCTGAGTAACAAAATGGGGATCCTGTGCTGCCCTGGCCAATTGCTAGAGGGAATCATGGGGAGACGCCTCCTGATTGCTGTTTGCTTGGTACTTGCCAAGCAACTCGTGGTGAATTGCTCAACCTCTAATGGCCACATGTCCTCCCAGTGGCAAACTGCTGCAGCAGGTCACAGGTGAGCCATCTGACACCTCCAGGCCTTCACAGGGCCTGAAGACAAGGTGCAAGAGCAGGTAAAACTGTTAATCCCTCCACGCACCCCAACACACCAACCTGTGTCACCAGGCAGCAGTTCACTTGTATTTCAGAGAAAAACGTCTTAGGGTGACATGAGGCAGTGAAGCTTAGTGATACTCCCCCACATTCCCTGGGACACATTTTGTAGCATTTTGTGAGTAAAGCAGAAAAAGCCTGTTTCTTGTCTTCTGCCACTCTGTAAACTGTTGATGCCTAGTGCAACCTTAGCCAAGGATTTTCCAGCCTTCTACTGGATCTTGGGAGCCCTTACTCTGATTTAGTTAAAGGTCTGCAGGATCTTTGATGCCAGAGCCATGGTGACCCACAGAGAACAGGGTGGGCAGATTATCTGGTCATGCTTTTGACCTGAATTTTTCCTCCCATACCAAGACAGTCCTTGGGAGGAACTCAGTCGTACGCTTCCCGAAGGTCCAGAACGTGCAAACTTTATCTCTGGTATGTGTGTAGGAAGATATGCACAGCCAACATAACTGAGAGCAAAAGCCTGATCCATTTTGTTTTTGTACAGAGTGTTAATTTGCCTCGGTTTTAGGCACTAATTAATTAAATCAAGCATTTTTCAGTCTTTTTTGCTTGTACCTACTGATTCAGTGATGCATTCCTCTCCACAGGAAAAACACTATGAAGATGTGACCGGGACCATATGATTAAATAAAACCCATCAATTTGTCTTAGCATAATACAATACCCTGTGTAGTAATTGTGCATTCCCTACAACTAATCCAATTGCTGATGAGGATTTTGACAGCAAAGCAAAGACTTTGGGGAATACTTCAGCAATTCTATGCTTATTAGCAGCCATCAAATCATACAGCTGGCATAACCAAACCAGCTTGCACAACGGAGAGCCAGTCCTCAACAAGCATAGTGCTGGTGGACCCCAGAAAGCCCTGGCAAAAAAGTAACAGTGCAAAACTGAACATTACATTTCAAAGTCATTTATTTTTGAGTTTACCTTCTTCTAATCATTGCATCTAGCTGCAAAGGGCCTTGGTGGAGGCTGCTTTCCACAGCTTCTCCCATCACGCCCTAAAGCCAAGGTCAGCATCAGGGATCCGTGAATGGGGAATGGCAACTTTGGTAATTCCTGCCACTGTTGGAATACGAGTGCAGATCAGTGGCTGCCCCAACTGGCCTAGTTCACCTCTGACACTGATGGATGCTGAGGACCTGCCGTGGAGCTGGGTCTACTCTATTCCCCATATCTTCCAGCTCTGCAACGCCACGGCCTCACAGAATCATCTAGAATTACAGTATAGAATAGTGGAATCATTTAGGTTTGAAAAGCCCTCTAAGATCCTCGAGTCCAACTATTAACTCAGCACTGCCAAGCCCACCATTAACCCACGTCCCCAGCCCGCACCGTGAAGACAATCTCCTGCGAGCCCGCGGGGAAGGTTGTTTAATCACCATTTGTGAAGCACCCAAAACACTTAGCTGGGAGCTGGCAATGACAGGCTGCAGCCTCAAACTGAGGAGATATAAATTAGTTTTTAGAAAGCCAACAGATGATGCAGGCACGTGGATGGCTGAACCTGTTCTGCTGCTCAGCGCCGTGCTGCCGTTCCCGCCCTTCACTCACAGAGGCTTCTGACACGGTGGAAACCCGCAGGGAAGCTCAACACATCCTCCTCACCGCCATGTTCTCACTTATACGGCTGCTTCCTTCTTTTCCCCCTCCCCCTCGGTTCTACAGTTGTGTTTATTGTTTCCATACATTATCTGAAGCAGCACGGATGTATTTCCACTAACAAAAGTGCTCCTGTTTCCTTCGCGCCCCCGGGCCAACGCTGCAAACAATAAGTCCATGTATTTTTGCAGGTTGGTAAGTGACACCGAGTCACAGAAGAGTACTGGTCTGATCCTGGGTTTTTCTGCCCCTGGGGATTCTCCTTTAGCATCAGGCAAGGCTTGACTATACCTAGGCACATGCAAATTTATCCATCCAGCAGTATTTCACCCAGAAAGGCTCAAGGGATCCGTGTGCTCATTCAGCGCTGACCCATCTCAGAGATGCAAAGCCCCTGGGTAATCCCTGCAGTGAGACAGGGCATGCTACAGGCTTTATGAAAAGAAAAACCCAGAAAGCAGAACTATTTATTTCCACCTCCTTTCCTTGGGCAATGGTATTCTTGATGCAGTCAGGCTACTGGTAAGGGACATGGGATCAGGCCTGGAGCTGGCATTGGGATAGGTGTCTCAAGCAGACAGCTGCAGCCCAGGGAGCCTGCCTGCCTTCGAGAGGAAAACAAAATCTGTCTCATGTTGTTAAGCTGCCTACAATGCATGTGAATTTTTCCCCTGGGTAAAGGCAACCTGGCCGGCTTGTCAAGGCAGCCCACGGTCTGCACGAGAGGGCTGGGGATGGTGGGGGGGCTGGGGCTGTGTTACATCTAGATCCCATCACTGCAGGGAGGGAGATGGCAGCCCCTGGAGAGCCCTGGCTTCACTCAGTGACAGATTTTACAGCTGAAGGAGATCTGCCTGTCGTAATCGGCCAGGCCGGGGGATGGAGTCGCGCCGTCTCGGCCATTTCGTCCTGATTAGACCCCCCAGGGCCCCGCCTCCTGTCCTGGGGAGGCAGATAAACCCCAAGAACAGGAGCCAGCAAGGTGCCTCTCTGAGCACCAGGAGAGTCTACCAGGCTTTCAATAGCCCAGGAGCCTGCAGATTGCTTCCCTGGATGTGCATTAAAATTCCCCTCGGAGCCAGCAGCGCAGTGGGAAATTCACATTGGTCCTCACAGTACACAGTGAGCAAAGGCCAAAGTCGTGGGAGCAGCTCCAGTTTCACGTGGCACGTGGAAAAGGACACCATGAGGGGCTCACACTGCGCCTACAAACAAGGTCCTAATTGCCTGATGCCATCGGCCACGTGTTAGCCCTTTCCAAATTATTTGTGCATATACCCTTGTGGAATGACTTAAATTCACTTACAAATAGGAAATGAAGGGTGACAGTCACAGAACGGCTCAGGTTGGAAGGGACCTTAAAGGTCATCCGGTTCCAACCCTCCTGCCATGGAAAATAAAAAATTAAAAAAATAAATCTCCAGACTAAATCCACAGTATATCCAGCTGCATAAGAATGTAGTGGTCTAGGAGAGAGAGATATCGTGCCATCTCACTCCTGTTACAGGAGAGTTAACTGCAGGGCAAGGAGATTGGGGCAGGGAGAGTGGAAGAGGAGGAGGAAAGAATTCAAATTTGTCAGACAGGAAGGAATCTGTCTCACTTTCAGCACCTTTGCCAACAGCTTTCTCGTTTCATTTAGCAAAACACTGAATCACAGAATAATCAAGGTTGGAAGAGACCTTCAAGATCATTGACTCCAACCCTTCCCCCAGCACCACCATAATCATCCCAA